GTGTTCAATACTTATTTTACCCGCTGTATATATATTTCTTAGCTGTGAACTGATAAAATTGACAGAGCCGTCACCAAGACCTTCTCCCTTTGTTTGTGCTCCCAGTCCAGGCAAACAGCTGGATGTAGATGACCAGTACTATCACACCCTGTCCACCAGCAGGTCAGAACCCTCCATGACCACAGAGAACACGTCAGACGGCACACCTGAGAGGAGACAGTCCATGGACCGGAGGGAGTCCACAGAGGAGACACCAGCAGGATCCAGTCGTCCGATGAGAGAGCGGGCCATAACTGAACCAGAACTTCCCAAACCTGCCAAAGACAAGCGGTAAATACTTGATGTACAAAGTACATTTCTTTTGAAGAGCAGTCTTGTGGAAAGACTATTAACAATTAAAATCTTAGGAGAAATAATGTTYAAGTCGGCATTGATGGCACGATATGTCCCCTGCGTCGACAGGCGTTCTGTCCCCAGAATGTCCTCTACAGAAAGTCGAACTGCGGACAATCCGTACGACTACAGACATCTGCTGAGGAAGACCTCGCAGAGACGAAAGCTCATCAAACAGTACTGAACACCAACAAGTTCGACAAAACAAGCATCCCACAGCATGTTCAGACATCCAGAGAACATCTGATCACAATGTACACAATTAAGCTGCACATGTTGGAGATTAGAATATAAACACTGAAATTACAACAAATGAAATGTGCTGTAAATGAAAGGTTATATGTGTAATCTGTAATGTAGATATTTAAAAATGTTTTTTTTTTAATGTTTAGATTTACTGGTGCTCTTATGTTGAATTCTGTGCTTTCTGAATTATTTTCAAAGACATATTTTGGTTAAAAAAACAGCTTCAGTGTTGTCAGAAATGTTGATCTCTGCTGTAACTTCTGATTTAAACTTGAATAAACTCTGTTTATTTCATTGAATGACTGTGGCATCTGTGGTCTTKATTCATTTTAAAGGAAATGATGTTCAATCCCTTTGAATTAACCTGTTTTACTATATTTTATAAGACTACTCACTCCATTGCTTGCTCAGTAAGTATTCCCAACAGGCTACATAGATTCATTTTATTAATTAAAAAAAAAGGTCGATATCAAACAAGCCATGTGTGATTTTTCTCTTTTACACCYTCTGCCTTTCTTCCCGACTCAACCTGTGACCTTTAAGTGACATTTTAAATGGGGAACAGCCCCACAGGGAGCGTCAGTGGAGCAGCTACTGTACACGCTCATCCCACAAGCTGACACTATAGTGTCCAGAAAAAGAAAAAAAAAACACAAGGATGTGCTCCAGTTTTTAGCTCAGGGGAGGTGGATAACAACAAGACTTCCTGCCAGAACAAAATGTAAAAACCTCATGAGGAAATAAAGCAGGAACCGGAAAAGATCACTGCTCCAATTTGCCAGAGGGTTTATTTGCATTATGGTGTTCTCATTAATAAAAAAAAATGGCCCAACATTTTTTTTTTTTTTTTGTAGAACTGATCGCCCACCAAATGTTAGCTAAACTGACTGGGTTAGAATAATATCTGTAGCTGGCATCCTAATTGAACTGGGTTATAAATTACTTGATGTACATCCACAAATTTAAGCACATTTTTGTCAAAYTGACTAATTTACAACCTTTTCTGTGTTTTCAAAAGGAATGTAGGCCATCTTGAATGGTGTTCGCTCCAATAATTAATCAGTTGTATATCTAATGACTGTTTCCTGAAAGGTTAATTAAAGGATTTTTAGTGGTTCGGGATGTATTTTGCTAACAGACAGACTAAGTTGAATCCAAATAATTAAAGGTACTATTTAAACAAAGAACTTGGACAACATGTTAATGCTCAGACCATATGATGGGGATCAGTTTCAGCGACTAACACACCAAATTGTAGGTCAGTATTTGTAAAACTGACTGAGTTGCAGATATATTTGAGTTTTTTAATGTTGGTTTGCTGTAGGATTTATCYTGAGTCAATTTGACCCCAAAGGGTTATCAGTTGTAGATGCACATCCAATGATTACTGTCTAAAAAGTTTATTAAAATCCATCAAGTGTTTTATGAGATATTTTGCTAACAGACACAGACACGGACAAAAACATTATTTTGACAGATGCGGTGCATTTTTCCAAATTGACTGACTTCAAGTCTGGTAATAGTAACAATAAAAATAACTGAAAGTATGACACATAGCTGTGCCAGGGTCTATATCTGAGGCCGTTTTTCTAAATCATTACGATTTATTTAAAAAAAACATGTCACGTGAAATTTGCCAGAAGAGCCGTGGTGTAAATTAAAAAAAAAATTGTCAATAAGCGTCACTTACATTTTAAAATAAAAATATCCGCTTTCTTTCTCTCAAATACTAATTTAATTTTAGACCAAATGAATTAATCCAACAGGCCTGTGCCTGAGTTTAAACATAAATGTCTACATTCCGTGTAACAAATAGATTTGAAGCAATGCGCACCATCAGAGAAGGAGGGAGTCATGATGCGCACTTTGTGTTTTTGCACCGACCCTCTCCTCCCGCGCGCACATACAAACACACACACAAACGCGCGCGCGCCTCCTCTCCTCTCTGGAGGCGGGCAATTAGAGCAAACCCAGAAAAAGCTCCGCAATCTCGGCGCGGATGATTTAGTTGGCATTCAGGGTCTGTTGTATGGAGGGGAAGTGGAGCGCGCGCAGGGGCCAAAATGTTGGGGGTGTTTTTGGAGTCACGACGCAGCGCGGTTCGTCATGACCCTGAAGTGAATCACGACGGGATTTTTTTTTTCTGCTGACGTGATTTMTTTTTTTAAAGCATGATTCGTGCGCTCCACATTTAGCTGCCTTTTTTCTGTTGTTTAGATTCATATTTTTAAACGTAGCAGATGTTTTTCATCTTGAACTTGTTTTCTTTCATTCCCCCACCACTCCTCACTGGCTGAGGTGGCCGAGCTCTCTCGCTGGAGACGCGCTGAGTTTTTTTTTTTTTTTTTTTTTTTTTTTTTTTTTTTTTTTTTT